AAAAAAAAATGTATCAAGCAAAGAAAGTGACTGGTTCCTTGATAAAATCATGTGCATGAGGTCTCACAGCAGCCTCAGACTCTCATACTTCGTTGCAAGGAATATAGTGATAGTGATTATAATCAGTCGAGCTTCACGTTGGAATACAGAAGGGTGTCCTTAGTGAGTGGCATGTTCATAAGAAAGAGGATCTGCAGCCAAACAAAAATACATGATCAAATACCTCAATTTCCTTGTTAACAGTCCTCAATTTACACATGATCAACCCCTATATTTTTTACCAACTTCAAATCCCACTTATAATTTTGGCACTTTTTCCAATCACATAAGATTCGTAGTGATTTAACTAAACTTGGCCCTCCAAAGATGTCATTTTTCTATGTTTTACGTAAAATGCTATTTTAACAATTCAAATGAAAATGCAAAGAATCAATGCAGGATGTCTTTCTAAAGATAACTTTACCCCCAGAAGAGTCGCAATAAGGAGAATGATTCCAGTAATCCAAGCCAAAGCCCTTCTAACAAACAACACTTCTGCAAGCTTGGCGATATCAGGTGAGGTTTCAGTTTCCGCCAGCTGACGAGCAGATCGCTGAGAATTTAATTTGACTTGGAAGCCTAGTTGGTCACCATGGGCTATAATTCCAACAATTTGTCCTGCCTCAAGAGAGCTCTTGTGAATTATAAGGTCAATTATTTTCACAGAAAAGCATCAGCATTCATGGAGAAGTAATAAGAAAAAGATATCCGTATTCGAGCAGAATATATCTATAGCTGTGAAAAGCATCAGCATTCATGAAGAAGTAAAAAGAAAAAGATATCCGTATTCGAGCAGAATATATCTATAGCAATGCTCCTATAGCAAAAAAATAATTCTTCACAAACATTAGAATGAAAATGATGAGCTAGAGCTAGGAACAAGCCGATTTCATTATAAAGAGAATGGCACTAAACCTTGGTATACTGACTGAATCAAATTGACTGCTTTTGAGATGGAATTGACAAACACTTCCAACCCACTTTGTGCAATTCCTTCTTTTCCATAATTATCTTGCAAAGCCTGTCGGAATGAAATAAAACATAGAATTGGACTTATACATGTAGAGCAGAAAACAGCAATTTCAAAGTTTTGAAATTCTGGAATCAGCTGAAGCAAATAGTTTCAAGAAAACGTTAACCATGTAGCTACTGAAGATGCATAAATGGCTCGAGTGGAATTACCATTAATATCCCAGACTCACTCATTTGTACATGCATAAATCAGTTGAAGCAAGTAGTTTCACGAAGACATTAACCATATAGTTACTGAAGATGCATAAATGGCTCGAGTCGAATTACCATTAACATCCCAAAATCACTCATTTGATTATTTTGAGTCATAATTACAAACAGAAATGACACAAACAAAATGATCATATAAATTATAAGGAATATTTTGCATGTGACTATGCACGTGTCACTGTTCCATTAGAGGGGAGAAAGAGTAGGAGGAGTTGTTTGATACAAGAAATACAGGGGTACATTACCCCCTTGAGAATGTACAATAGTTTCAACTTTCTAAAGAAGTATATAGTAAAGTATTAAGGATCCCAGAAGCGTAACTAATTTATCAATTGGGAAATTATCTTTTCTAGATTATCTTATTTACCTTAATTCCATCAAATCTCCCAGTAAATAGCTCTGCTGGACTGATCTCATTTTTTGTGAAAACTTGATGAATCTTCTTTGCGTGTTTAATTTTATTGACGAGCAACATAAGACTTGTTGCGAATTCCATGTCAGCCCTCTGTGAAAATTCAAATGTAGTTCTTTAAATTTTTTTTTAATTAAAAAAAAAATCATGGGCAGAACTAGAATTGTGAAAGACAAAGAACCTCTGATAAATGAAGTCTCATAAAAGAACCATTGGACGTTGGAAGAATTAACTCTCCATGCAATGGCCTGGATTTATCTTCAATGTATGATCCACCCATCCAAGACGCCTGGGTACAGAACACCAGACATTAAATCAAGCTTACACAGGAAGAAGAGAGAGGGAGAGGGAGATAGCGTGGACAGACAAATTCACTTAGTTCTTTATCTGAACATTCTGTAACACTTGATCCTTCATTCAGTGATACCAAAGACACTTCATCTTCACCTGCGAACATACAAGATATTGTAAGTTCAAAATTTCAAGTATGCCGACTTCAGGTTATTAACCAATGACCTAGGGCAGTTACCTATGAGCTGAATGTCAGCTCTTTCATTGCCTGCAACCTTGATTCTCAGAGCACCACTTAGTGGGGATTCACCTTTGTCAGCAACAAGTTCAAACTCTGCATATATTCACCACTTCATAAAAAGGACAACTAAGCACTGAAATTATGATTCCAGCAGATTCTGATAAAGATGAATGGATGGAAGGCTATCAATTTTAATTTCTCCACTCTGCATATACTCTTACACTGACTTTTTGGATCTTAATTGGTGCTTAATCTAAGAAATTTTTACTAATTATTATCCCTTTTATTATTTTCTTAACCCTTTTATTCTTATTACCATTTTATATTAGCAATAGTATAGCATATAAGAGCGAGTGGTCAATAGGATAAGTATGAACAGATTTATTTTATAAAAGCATAGGCTATTGGGCAAGTTTCATGCAGGACAGAGATTCTGCTGGAGAAGTATCATACTTCTTGGAGAAGTTTTATAATTCTTATTCGTCCCAATTACTATTTCATCAATAAAATTATGTCTCTTTTATTCTGACCCTTTACTCCTATCAGATTCAGTTAAAGCAGCACACCTTCAGCTCCTGTGACTTCAAGCAGCAACAAGGCACGGGGCCTATCAAATGGATTAGGCATAAGCACCTCATTTAGCTGCAAAATGGAGAGTCATATCAATACTAGAGTTACTATAGAGATGAATAAATCATGACATAATTATGTTATACCTTGGATGAGCTGGCAGCAGTTACTGTAGGATACGGTGCGAAGCCAAGCAGCACTGATGCAGCTGCACTAATTTCAGATGGGGAGAATGAACCTGACTGCAAAAGTTACAAAGGACTCAGCATTCTTCCCAGTCAACAAAACTACTTCAGATCTAGTCTAGACAGTAAAAAGCACAATAACAATAGATTAAATGGATATCCTCTATTCTACTTAATTCATCTCCAGCCTTGCACTACTAATCTGCATCCTATCAATGTAATCTTGAATTACCCCATTCACTTGCCAAAATCAGAATAAGCATCACATGTTTAAGTTCATAAAAAAGAAAGGACCTAAATAACTAAATGAAAAAAAAAAAAAAAAAACATGACACAAAGATTTGCAGTCATGTCAAACATTTTGCAGCTAATCTTCCAATAAAAATAATAAAATGTACGAATCTATTGCTTCATGTCATTTCGAGAGGTGTTATCAGAAATGATTTACTCTTTTTAGCCATGAAAATGTTCGATTGCATTAACTAGATCATAATGTATATTTTATGTTAAAACAACTGACAGTGAAATAAGTGAGATTCATTCCCATACAACTGTATTTGATAGTCTTATTCAACACTATTATACTTTATCAGCAAAAAGTCACACTTATGCAGAAACAAGTTATGAATATTAACAATGTAAATAGTTGTTTTGGAAAATGTTTGAATATATTTTACATGAAAGTATGAATGTATCGTCTCACATAAGATTTGCTTAAGATGCGCTTACAATAGACCACCTGAATTAGAAACCATCCCTTTTTAGAATTCAAAACACTAAACCTAAATTTAAAGTAGTGTTATCTTTAATCTTTAAAATATAAAAGTAGTTCTTAAGGAATTCTACTGTACTACAAGTGTGCCAAACTATCCAGACTTCCATATTTGTATTCTTGCTATAAGCAAGCAGGAAGCACACCAGCATGAGTTCAAATTTCTTAACAGAATATATAAAGAGACCCTACATGCTTAAGATACATATTTGCAAAACAACCCTAGTCGTGCAGTTCAATTCCGCACTTAACCCTATTGCAGGTGTTCTCTAGCTGCAGGATTAAGAGTGTGGAAAGGCAAACTCGATTAGACCCTCACATTCATGCTTAAGAATGAACCAATAAAGTGAGCACATTCTCCATATCAGAACTACTTTAAGTTTAGAATCATTCAGAATAAGTCAATACGTAACTTACAATTGAACAGCATTCACTGAAAATGGAAAACAATTCTGAGGGATGATAAGCCAGAAAATAAAATTTTAAGAAACATAGTTTTTTTTTTTTTAAATGTATTTGAATGTTCTTCCGAGTGCCAATCATCCATCTCTCTCTCTCTCT